CAAATATACTGTTATTTATAATTTCCTTGAGAAACGTCGTGCTTGACCATGAAGTTTGTACATAACATAGGGGAACAGGCTCCGGTCAACGACTTGGGTACAGTACTCGAAAGCAACTCTCATAATCGTATGCTTAATTGATTTTAGAAATAATTTACCTCAAAATGTTACCTCGCCAGTGTCACACGCTCCAAATACACAGTATTTCTGCGTTTTATTCAGCCTTTGTTTGACAAACAGTACAATCGTTATGCTCAGCCAAAGCGACAGCACCCTACTCTCTACAAGCAACTGGCACCCACTGACAAACGCGCTTGCTCGGATCAATTCGCACAGTTGCCAGCTTCACCGACGTTGCCAGATCTAACGATCAAGTGACAATTTTGATTGGCCAATGATGTTGTTTGATAAAAAAATTCTTATTGTTTCAAAAATTTTAGACGACAATTTATTGGATCGATATGCATGATTATTCAGACAGCAAAGCTTAACAATTCATTAAAAGTGTAATATAAATATAATAAACAAAGGCATAAAGTTTATTTATTATTGCAGGAAACAGTAGGCTTGTACTTTGAAAAAGAAGATATTCGTAAGAAATGTTTTACTGGCGCGATCCGTTATGTCCAGCACAGGGTATAAAACGTGTTTAAATCGAGCAAAAATTAATCCACTGCGATGGCCGGGAATCGAACCCGGATCAACTGCTTGGAAGGCAACTATGCTGACCATTACACCACCATCGCAGTTTGCATACAGTCTTGTTAAACCGGATGATAATCAATAATTAATCGTACATGATTCTACAGTGAAACTATGATTTTCCTTGAGCAAAATGAACCTCTGCGATGGCCGGGAATCGAACCCGGATCAACTGCTTGGAAGGCAACTATGCTGACCATTACACCACCATCGCAGTTGATCTTCGAATTCCCCATAAGGAAATCTGAGGTCATTATATAGTAATCACACGTACTCGAGAATTTCCTCTGTGGTTCGCTTATAACATTCTAGAAGATAACATACGATAGTCATCCTATAAGCACGAGATAAACACGTGATAACTATTATTGGCAGGATATTCCGAGTGTCTTTCCTTATATGAATCATCAGGTCCGAAGTATTATTACTTTTTCTATAAAACTTCGTACCGTAGACTACTCTAGTGTTTCGTCACCTTTGACGATACCACAAAGAATGGCTTGAGAACTCCAGAATATTTTTACCTGGGTGCCATCCCTCGACGGGTTTAATTTACCACACCCTCGAGTGTCTCTGAGTATACTTGCAAATCGAAAGACTGCTTAAATACACGAGATTCAAATTCTGACGATCGATATTCGAGCGAGATGCGTTCACGCTTAAGGGTGTATTGGCTATACAATCAATCCCAAAAGTTCATGTACCTTAGAAAAACGCATTTCCTATAATTAAAAATAGTGCATTCTTCTTCTAATTTCGATATTTAACGAGTTACATATGATTATTTGGCATTTTATTGATGTTGACAAAATCCGACCATTCCAGCGTCGAAACGGCGAACTTTTGGAAAAAAATTTCGTTTTTCCTCAATAACTCCTAAACCTTTGGAGATACGAGAAAATTGCATAGGACCTTTCTTGTAGAGGACGACGAGATCTACAATTTCCATATAAAAATTTTGCGCTAGCATCAATAGTTTATGAGTAATTTGCGAAAAACTGTTTTTTCGTTTTTCGTCAATAACTTATAAACTATAGGGGCTAGTGCAAAACTTTTATATGGAAATTGTAGATCTCATCGCCCTCTACAAGAAAGGTCTCATGC